TTTCTTCACTTTCTTCATGTAGAATAAGAGAAAGTTTGCTGATCGATGTACTATATCCATTCATCAAGCTGTTCTTTGATTTACTACCAAAAATCTGCTCGCAAAGATATTTCAATCTTCGACCTATTACGGCAACTGTTGTTGCATCAAATATATCACTTGAACAAACAAAACAACAAGACAGCTGATTACCATCTGATGATGGATTGTATACAAATTTCAATGAGAAGTCAAACTTAGCCATTTCATATAATTCTTTTAACGACACTTCTTCTAAGTTGACACCATTTAAACATAAATCATTAACTTCTTTTAATACGGTGATGAAATCGAACATTGTCTCAAGAAATGATATATTTGATTGAGTGACATGTAAATCAGCAAGAATATGTTGAAGTGGATAATGAGAATGTTCAAGAATTGATAAACATTTTTCTTGTACATATTTGACTGCTTTGTCAAATGACCAATGAGGATCAAGCTCAGCACGATATGGTAACGTTGAAACAAACATTCCTATCATATTCACCAATTCACTTCGATATCGATTAGCATTGATAGAAGAAATACATAAATCGCTCTCACTATGAGATAATTTGAATAGGAAGACATAAAATATGGATAATCCAAGTTGAAAAAGTGTGAGATGATGTGAGGATGCATAATTTAGAAATGATGCACATATTTCATCGTCAAAAGTGATTTGAGCTGAAGAAGCTAAACCTGATCGTTGTTGATTAGTTGATGACCGTTGTCGATCAACAGGTAATGATAATTGACGAGTCAGATTATATCCTTTGAGTTCAAATTGCCAAAACTCTTGAGATACTGTCATATCTATTATATGTTCATAAATCGAATAGTCAATATATTGTAATGAATTATCATCTATAGAAAGCAACTCATTAGATTGATAAGCAAGGGAAAGATCATGAATGAAGATTGATGTCGATGCTCCATCAAAACAAGCATGGTGAATAGTAAATAATATTAGATCATCTTTAGACAATAGATCATCATTATTCTCAGTAAATAAATGATTTGATTGATCACGACGAAGAACATGACAATTGATAACATGTCCTTTTGATAAATCGAATAAATCCGATTGATTTAATATTTCTTCTATAGTTTCATTCATATTCTCATTGAGAATGATATTTGCATCCAAACAATGTTGTACAATATTACCATTTGCATCATCAATATAAAGTGCCGTTCGAAGAATATTATGTTTTGTGATAACACTTTGAAATGCATGATGTAATCGAGTAATTGATATATGATCATTTATAGATGATATACGATACATTAATGGAATAACATACATATTATTCATTTTTGTTTTGTTAGATGAAAAACGAATTTGTTCATCTAAATAGATTCGTTCTTGTGCAAATGATGCCCTAGCTAGAATGACAAAACAGATAAACATATTAGTTTATGATAATATCAAGTGCAAGTTGTATTCTTTACCTTGAATGAGATGTAATGAAGACCAAGGATAATCATAGAGAGTGTGAATGGTATTAATAGATTGCTGAATGAGTTGGGCATGATCGATAATTGTTGGACGTTGAAATAGATCAGTAATAAAAAGAGCATTAGTTTCTAAACGAAATTCGATCTTGTATCGATGGAACAGTTGCATGATAAGTAATGAATGACCACCAATAGTAAATATATTTGTATCTATTGAGATTTGATTTTGTTTAAATATCTCACACCAAATATGATGAATACTATCTTCAACATCATTCGTTGGTCGTAATAGTTCTATACTGTTTGTGAGATGTATTGATGAGAAGTGAGGTGGCGGAAGAAGTTTTCGATCTATTTTTCCATTTTGATTCAAAG